CACCCAGCCGCCACACGTAAACCACCACCACCGTGCGCTGCAATGAGTGTGTGGCGTGCGTCGCGTGCTGACGTACACGTGCGTGGCGTGCGTTTTGTATCAAAACAAATATCACGACATCTTGCTTGCTGCCAACCGTTAAACCTGCGCATGTGTGCATAATGATGGCAATGTTTATCAACATGAAAGCACTCCTATATACTGGCATAAAATGTTAGTATTTTGTTAATCATTGGTGTAGGATCAGTAATATTTTCGATGTCAGCGTTTTCTGAGCAAAAATCTCTGGCTCAAATACACACTTTAAACTTGTTGTAAAATAAATCTGTAAATATTGCATTAATTGGAAAAAAATACTTAAATGGATAAAGATAGAAAAATACAGAAAACAGGTAAATTAATAAAAAATCAAGAATCGTGAACCGTACGTCGAGCGGTTAAGATTTGTGCCCAAGTGCACGTACGATCATGCGATTCTCCAAGCTGCATCGGACTACGTCAGATGAGCTAAAAACAAAGTCAAATTATAGAATAAGGGTGTTTAAAATTTTTTTTTTAATTAACATGCTTTCGAGATTACATCTCTTCATCAGGTCAGCAGACATTGGATTCAGCTGACCTGATGAAAAGATGTAATCTCAAAAAAGCTTGTTAAATTAAAATTTAAACACCCTTATTCTATAATTTGACTTGTTTTAAATCTACAATGGGTGGGTTCGTGTGTGACTTTACTTTATATATATGTATAACTATAATATATATACTCATAAGTAGTTAAGTAGTCTGTCCCGGGCAATCGGTATAACCTACTACATATATATGATTTATATACACATAGACATATATAGACACATATATATACACATACATATATATATGATATATATATATATTACACATACATGATATAAGACTATTATATGATTATATATAATAATATATAATAATATATATATATACACATACATGATATAGATATATATGATATATATATATACACATACATGATATAGATATATTATGGATATATATATATATCCACATACATGATAATATATATATAATACTATATGATATATATATACACACTGTACATGCATATAGATATAATATGATATATTATATATATATAACACATACATGATATAGATATATAGAGATATATGTATACACATACATGATATAGATTATACTAGATTATATAATATATTATCACCATACATAGATATATCACGATATATAGATATATATATAATAGCACATACATGATATCATAGATATTAGAATATATATATATATATACACCATACATTCATATATATATATATACATTATATTCATACAATAATCATAAGGCGCCAAAGTTTTGAAATGAGGGGGGAGAGAGGGAAGAGAGAAAGAAAATAGAAACAGAGAAAGCGGCACGCGAGAGAAGTCAGAATAGAGAGAGCGAGCGAGCCTAGAGAAAAAACGCGAGAGAGAGAGCGAGCGAGCAATCAAGCAAAATAATGAGAGAGAGGGGGGGGAGAGGGAGAAAGGGAGAAAGAGAAATCGAAAGAGAGAGATGGGGGGAGAGGGAGGAAGGGAGAAAGAGAAATCGAAAGAGAGAGAGAGAGCGCGCAAAAGAAAGTGAGAATGGGAGATGGAGAGAGAGAGAGAGAGAGAGAGAGAGAGAGAGAGAGAGAGAGAGAGAGAGAGAGAATAGAGAGAGCGAGATGAGAGAGAGAGAGAGAGGGAGCAAGCAAAAAAATGAGGAAGAGAAGAGAGCGAATAGAGAGAGAGAGAGAAGAGAGAGAGACAAGAAAAGAAGAGTAGATAGAGGTAGAGCGAGAGAGAGAGAGAAGAGAGAGGGCGAGCAATCAAGCAAAAATATAGAGAGAGAGAGGGGCGGGGCAAGAGGGAGAAAGGAGAAAGAGAAAGAGAGGGGGGGGGAGAGGAGGAAGGAAAGAAAGAGAAATCGGAAGAGACCAGAGAGAAGAACGCGCTCGAGGGCGCAAATAAACGTGAGAATGGGAGATGGAGAGAGGAGAGAGCGATAGAGAGAGAGAGAGAGAGAGAGAGAGAGAAAGAAAGAAAGAGAAAGAGAGCGATAGAGAGAGAAAGAGAGAGGGAGAGAGAGGGGGTTATTACATAAGCTGTTATTACATGTATATGTTAACAAATAATTACTAATGAGCAAATGACAGCAAAAACATCTCGTTATAGTGCTTTTAAACACCTTTATTCTGCGAGTACCAGTATAAAGAACTGCGGTTTGCTGCAAAATTCTGATGCAACCAGGTACACTAGAAATGAACTCGTCTTGTGAATAATCTCAGGAATGGCGTTTTGACATCACAAACACTTTAACAGGAATGGTCTACTTTATATTTAGTCCTAGTAGCGCATATGCATATATATATATATATATATACGACCAGAGTGCAAGGCGCATTATAGAAATTCAAGCAGTTACTATAGACCCGCTACGAGAAGATCACTCCCCCTAATTTTTTCCCGTTTCTCGATTCACAAGGATGCTTCCCCTTTCGCGCTTCCCGCTCACGGCTGCGGCGTCATGCGAAGATAAGGCTTTCCCGACGGCATCGGAAGGATATCTACTCCCTTTGGGAAGAGTCCCGCGATTTCCTCTGGTTTTACCGTTGGAACCACCATACACTTTTCGCCCTGTTTCCAGTCGGCAGGTGTCGCCACCCTCTTAGTCTCGGTCAGCTGTAGGGAGTCGACAACACGTAGGATCTCTCTGCAAACACGGAAGAGCAAAATACCACGTGAAGATATCTCTCGAATAACAGCGACGACCATAAACAAGCGGGGAATCGTTCGGGTCACCTTGACAGAGGCGGGAAAAAACCCCGCGCACTTGCTTTCTACATTAACGTGTCCGTCATTTCTTTTCGTTTTTTCTTCCTGCCAGCTCTGACCTATATATACTATTAAATGCTTTCCTTACTCCTAACTGTGCATCAATAATAGGCGCGCTCACGTGGAGGGAATATGTTGGAGACCATAAACCAGCGCGGACCGGTTGTCCAGCGCGGAATTCTGATCAGATCGTGTCAAGGTCAACAAAATAATACAAACGCGAGGGACCGATAAATGGCATACACTGTTGGTAGGATTTAAAGACCCGCCTATTCTGTACTATATATATGTACCTTGACGTATAAATAAAAGTTTCTATATTTATGCAGATCGCATATATAAAACAATATACAACAGTTTTTGGCGTTGAGTCGAAACACTTCTTTTAACCGAGGGAATACGAATGCATGTCACGTTTCACCAATACGTTTCATAGGGGCAGTGAGGCTGATAGGGTCAAGAGCGTATTAAGAAGGAACGCCTCCTCCTCCTCCTCCTCCTGCCTCCTGCGCGGAATTCTGATCAGATCGTGTCAATTTCAACAAAATAACACAAACGCGAGGGACCGATAAATGGCATACACTGTTGGTAGGATTTAAAGACCCGCCTATTCTGTACTATATGTACCTTGTCGTATAAATAAGTTTCTATATTTATGTAGATCGCATATTATATAAAACAATATACAACAGTTTTTGGCGTCGAGTCCAAACACTTCTTTTAACCGAGGGAATACGAATGCATGTCACGTTTTACCAATACGTTTCATAGGGGCAGTGAGGCTGATAGGGTCAAGAGCGTATTAAGAAGGAACGCCTCCTCCTCCTCCTCCTCCTCCTCCTCCTCCTCCTCTTCATGCCTTTTGCCTCCTACTCCGCCACCTCCTCCTCCTCCTCCTCCTCTTCATGCCCCCTACTCCTACTCTAACACCTTCTCCCTTCCTTCTGCCTCCTCCATCACCTTCTCCCCTCCTCCTCCCTCCTCCATCACCTTCTTCCCTCCTCCTCCTCCTACTCCATCCCCTTCTCCCCCCTCCTCCTCCTCCTCCTCCTCCT